GGGGGGGGGGGGGGGGGGGGGGGGGGGGAAGGGTGGACGGAGTGGGGGCTAGAGAGGATTGGTAAGCAGCAAATGTGTTAAAAAAAAAGTATAAGATATGTTAATTAGCCATGTATCGGGCGTAATGTACGTAGGCCTGTCTGTGTTTCATCCCTTAGCTGTAAACACAGATGGTAATTGGTGCCGAATGAGATGGGAATCATCGGTACAGCTCTCACTCCAGATCCGAATTATGAATTACAACTGTTTATGAATTACAGCCTGTTTTGTTCTGAATAGTAGAGCAGAAGGATTCGAATTAACTGTCATTGTACAAAAACATTTTACGATGCAGTCTGTGTTTCATCCCTTAGCTGTAAACACATATCGGACTGTGCATGCGGGTAGAAGTGGAATTGTCAGTACAGCCTCCTACTCGCCATGTATTGAAACTCATCCCATTCACGTAGCTCCGCAGTAGAAGTTTGGTTTGATTCTTCCATTTTACAGATAGCTTTTTGTAACATTACATAGGTACTAAAAATATCAAGACCACCTGAATAATTGGTGTGGGTGTCCCATATCGGTAACAACATTGCATTTTTATCATTCAGTAACTCGCTTTGTCTATCTGTTTTCTCCTACTTTTGCGTGAAACAGTGCGTCAACTGTTTTTCAAGGCTCGTCATGGCGGTTGGTGGCAATATGAGCGTCGTCATGAGGATGAAATTGAAGAAGCATATCAGAATGGTGCAAAACGAGTCGAAATGCTGATTGCCGGTTGCATGTACTGCATCGATTTCGGCGCCATGACACAGTACCGAAAAGATAGCAGGTAGTGATTTTTTTATCCGTTCTTTGCATCTATGTAATGCAGAAAACGCATATTGACGAGGGGTTGTCTGTGTGCGTCTGTGTGTTCGTCTGTACCGATTTTTCATCTCGAGACCTTCGAAAGCCACAGGGCTGAAACTTTGGGAACTTAATCTACTTGCATGTACGGGCCCCCATCCCCAAAATGGATGGCCTTACCCGTTCGGTACCCAAAACGGGCCCGCCAGAGTTTTTTACGGACAAGCTGCTAGCTCGGGAACCAAAAACGTTGGAAAGATGAGATTTTATGGGGACGTTCTCCGTTTACGCAGGTATTAATGAGCTCAAACCCAGACATCGGGTATGCGTGGTACTTGCGTACGTTCCCGTGAAAGTTTTTTCCGGGTAAGATGCTAACTCGGGGACCTGTGAAGCTAGAGGATTGGAATTTTGAGGGGATATTCCCCATCCAAGTATGTGTTAGTGAGCTCAGACCTAGATACCGGGTATGCGTGGTACCCACGTAGGAGCTCGTGTTTTTTCGGATAGCTTGCTAACTTGGGTGCCAGGAAAGCTGAAATTTTAGGGGATTTTTTTTAACAGTTCTGGCGGCAAGTCTTAATTTGTTTAGTTAAAAGCATTTGCCGGGAAAACCGGTGCCGGTAGCGACAAAACTGCGGGGGACTATGCAAAAAACGCATCTTCCCACCGGCAGTCGGTGCGTTGGCCAATTATTTTTTCAAGGATTCATGAGAATGGGAATATTTATTTAGCCCTTTATTTATATGATAAAGGCATATTTTGCATACAAATAAAATTGTTATTATTGATTAAATTGTACGTCTTATTAATAGTTCAGTTTTCGGCTTAGCAATGCATTTATTCCCCGGATAAAACTTTTTTCACCCTTTAAAAAGTTTACCTGATCAAGAGTGGACACCCCGCTGACAAGTACTCAAGGGATTTGTTGCTTGGTAGCGCGAATTACACCATTTCCCTCCTCCCACTAATTCCTAATACTTCGACCTACTTCCCTCCTCTTACTAACTTCTAACAATTCCACCAAATTGTAAATGTTTCTATATTATCTGCCTTCCCACTCACGAACTAACTTGCCCTCATTTTCCCTCCATTAATTTTCCCCTTATAAACCCCTTCCTTGATCCAGACCCTCAGTTTATGGAAATCGTTAGTCAACAGCGCCATTCGACCGTCACGTCTAACGCTGCTAGCGTCTCGCCTCCCCATTGCCGGCGTTCTTCTGTTGCACAGCTTGTGCGGTGCTCCGGCTCATCGTTTTACGCGTCGTCCCGCTCGTCATTTGACGCGTCATCTTGTTCGTCGTTTTCTCTGGAGTGAAGCGTTTATTGGAAGAATAAACTCCTGGTTTTTCTTCCCTGTCTCTCGCAGCTGCAGTCAGGGACCACGTGGGGCTTAATACAGGTGCTGGAACGTCGTCGGTACGTGATGCAAACAAATTTGTGTAGAATTTTCTACAAAAGCATATGCGAGGGGCATCCCGAAACGGCTAAATGCTTGACAAATGCTTGAGTATAAGATTTTATATGCATCTATATGATTCCTGAGTTGTGAGAAAAGGAGAGTATTTTAGTGTGACAGATTAAACTTTATCATTTTCTGTTTCCTCTCTGCGCTTGAATGAGCAAACAGAAAAGGATCTGATGAGTCCTTTTTTGCAGGACACCGAGATTTTCACGTGCAATAAAACGTGTTGAAGATGTAGATCCAGAATTGGCTGATGCAATTCGAGGTGTTGCTGGTCTTCGTACATCAAACACAAGTGCTCCAAGCCTAGCTGCTTCAAATATAGGCAGAGAACGACGAACAGCAACAGGTGATTTGCCTAC